CCTCAATCGAAAGGCAGCTGTTTAACTCATCCTTGTTATTAAGGCCCTATCATTTCTTTTCATTGAAAAAAGAAACATCTGTATCTTCCCAGCCACAGTTAAAACTTGTGCCTTTAGTTGAGGTGGCGTTTCTGGCCCTGAGCTGACACTCTGGTCCACTGTAACACCTGTGAGTTGACTAGGATGCAGCAGCTCCAACAGCTCAAACGCACTGAGAGCCAGCAGACGTGCCAGTGGGCCGCAGGGGCCGGGGTTCTCCTGGGAACCTGCATGGCAAGAAAATGAGATTTTTACCAACTTCTGTTTTTTTGTTTTTTTTTTTAAAGACAGAGTCCCACTATGTCGCCCTTGGTAAAGTGCCATGGCATCACAGCTCACGGCAACCTCAAATCTTGGGCTTAAGTGATTCATTTGCCTCAGCCTCCTGAGTAGCTGGGACTACAGGCGCCTGCCACAATGCCTGGCTATTTTTTGGTTACAGTTGTCACTGTTGATTAGCGGGCCCAGGCCGGGCTCAAACCCACGACCTTCAGTGTATGGCTGGCGCCCTACTCACGGAGCTATAGACGCCAAGCCACCAACTTCTGATATTTAGCATCTTCTTCTATTATGAAGTTAGAAAAAAGAAAAATCACTGAAGTACTGATGCCCCTGTGGCTTTCCCCCCATAGGAATCACATGGATTTTTCTGATCACATCACAGTTCTTACAGACACCTCAGGGTATGAAGCTCATCACCTCTCTGAAACTATGGCAGTTATCAGCCCTGCAGTTAGACTGCGCTACATAATACATCAACTCAGAAGCACGTATGTTATCATGTCAAATAGTTTGTAAAATATCTTGATAACTGTATTTTAAAATAATTGGTTTCCTTGAAAATCCTATGTATCTAATGTATTTAAAAACATGGGACCCAAGGAGTTTCACAGGCTGCCAAAGGGGTCTGAGACACAAAATGGGTTAAAATGCTGTGATTCAGAAAAAATAGCTGACACAGCCAGCAGCCTCTGTGCCTCTGCTGCCACTCCAGCACGTGGCAAGTGCTGGCAGAGGCGGAAGGATGATCACACACCTAATCAGAAACAACTTTTCAAGTAACGCTCCAAGTTCCCTAATTAGGAATATTGGGTAAATTAGTCCAAGCCACTTTAATCAGCCTCAGCAGAAGGCAGGTATTGTCACTGATTACTTGGATGCTTTCATGGGGCTCATAATGGATGTGAAGGAGCGCAGAGGCGAGGGGCTTGGCTGATTGCTCCCAGGTTACTGCTCAGCATTCGGGCCACACACGTCCTGCTGAAAAATCCAAGTGCTAATAGCCTCAGCCCATTCTGGTGGTATTTGAACTTGGACATCACTTTCTTGCCTAGAACCCTTCTTTTATCTTTCTCTGTGTTAAACTATCGGGTGAACTGCCTTTAAATCTAGGCATTTCTTGAAGCCTGGAGTGGGCACTTAAAAACCCAAGGCTAGTTATATAGCTGAGGAAATGAATGTGATTTAACTGAGCTGCTTTTTGCAAAGACAAACAAACAGGCCCTCCTTTAATATGGACAAAAAGGTTTCTGTTTAATGGAAACTTTCTGAGGCTCTTCTACATGGTAGGCAGTGCAGGAACTTATCACTCACAGGACAGGGACTGAGCCTGTCGTTTACACAGGAGGTAACACGGAAGGGAAGAGCCAGCCAGGCCTCTGGGAGCTGCAGAGCATGATGGCTCGTGTGCACTCAGCAAACACTGGAGATCCCCAACCCAGCCAATCCACTCTGACTTTCCTGCCCGAAAAAATACTCATCTGCCTATAAAGAGCCCATCTGAGGATGCCCACAACAGCACTACTTAAATTAGCTCCAGCCTAGAGCTATCATCACTCCTGGTTATGACCAGGAGGGGGATTAACCAATTCAGAGTCCCGTCCATGGGAGGCAAGGTAGTTATTAAAAGCCTGACATAAATCTGTACACATAAACATAAAAAGATTTTGCCAACAGACGGAAAGGGAAAAGGTAAATTACAGAACAATGTACCCAGTATGATCACATTTATATTTAAGAAAAGCTGAATCACATGTTTGCATTTAGCTTGGGTGACCCCAAGAGAAAGTACTTGGTGGGAGATGAGGGCCAAAGTTTATTCTAGATACAGATTTTAAAACTTTAAAGGGCTCAGTGCCTATAGCTCAACTGGCTAAGGCGCCAGCCATGTACACCAAAGGTGGCGGGTTCGAATCCAGCCCGGACCCGCCAAACAACAATGACGGCTGCAACCAAAAAAAAAATAGCTGGGCGTTGTGGCGGGCGCCTATGGTCCCAGCTACTTGGGAGGCGGAGGCAGGAGACTCGCTTAAGCCCAGGAGTTGGAGGTTGCTGTGAGCTGTAATGCCACGGCACTCTACCCAGGGGGACAGCTTAAGACTCTGTCTCAAAAAAAAAAAAACCTTTAAAGAAAATGCATTCACATGTTACCTGTATAATTTAAAAATCTAATAAACTAACAATAAAAGTGGACCATATCTACCCTAGTTTAAATGCTAGAGAAAATTAGAATTTTTCTTAAAAACAGAAGAATTTCGTGTTTTCATGTATCTGTGGTTCAAGATGATGCACTAATAGCACAAACTTTCAAAGAGTGCTTAGCACAAAATAGACACTTAACATGGATTTGTTAAATGAATGAATTGAACTTGCACTGGGCACTTCCCATGCTGCTGGCGGCGTGCAAAGGATCACGGGAGACACACATCCTGTCCTGCATTCACTGAATTCATCTCCACGTGCCTCTCACTGGGAACTAAATGAAAATACACTTGAAAACAGACACACGCCTCTACTGCCCTTTAGGAACTTGGAGCTGAGATGAGGGAAGTGGACTTGCAGATAGATGTTGGAAGAATGAGATAAGGCCCTTTTCTGGCTGCAGCCTTAATACTGGCTTTGTTTTTTTAATTATGCCTCTGAGGCTCTGCTTATCATTGCCTGTCTTGTCCAGAATTATGTTCATGTGTTTGTGTCTACCCAAGTGCAGCAAAAAATACCAACCTTCCTAGACTGTGCGAACCACAAGAGTACCAAAGCAAAAGCTCTATTCTCTGTGTAAAGCCAGCACACCAAAGCTTTCTATCTTTGCTGAATGGCTTTCTTCCCAATTCTATACTTTTCATCATAGAATTAGACATCTCCAAGTACAGAAGGAGTCTTGATGGTCATTTGGCCATGGCTACTCTGATCAGGACCTTGACCCAGCCCTTCACATCCAATTTAAATTGAACGGTTACTGAACTAGATGAAACAGAACTTTCATCTCTCTCTGGCCTTTTTCCCGATGGAAGGGCAGAAGTCCATTTATCAGTAATTCTACTTTACATTCCTGCAGCGTCTCCCGCTCTGAACCACCACTCTGTTGGTTCACTTACTCTCCTCTCCAGCCTTTTGCAGCCCTATGTGCAGAAGTCCAGCCCGTCTTTCCCTTGAAGTTAAGACTTTTCTCCCTAAGGGGATTATCTGCACTCGTCTATAGCAAACATCACTTCTGGGTATGCTCTCTCTCCTCCAATTTGTTGGAAACATGTCTGAATTCAATTCCATTTTTATATTGTATCACTTTGGTCCCAAGAGAAATAGTCCCAGAAATTCAAATATAAGATGTCTAGGGCACTTTTAACTGTGAAAATGTGGTTATACTGCAATAGATGTGCAGAACTTGACTTGGGGAACTACCATGAAAAGCCTTCTACTGCCAGTGATGAAAGGCTTCTTCATCTATAAACCTAAAAGTATTAATTGTGTAGGCTCGGCACCTGTGGCTCAAGTGGCTAAGGCGCCAGCCACATACACCCAAGGTGGCAGGTTCGAATCCAGCCCGGGCCAGCCAA